GAAACAACAGCCAAAGAATAGATGGGAACTTGTCTCACACTCATTATTACAGAGAACACAAGCAGTATCAATAGAGGAATTCCATTGCTGCATTTTATCTGCAGTCTGAAGTCTTCCACGCAGAATTATCCACATGATAAAAGAGTATTTTGGGGTTGATTGAGGAAACCAAATCCCCTTGCTCCATTGGCAAAGCTGCTTAGAATCTCGAAGCTGCTCCCAAGTGCTCTTAGTAGAAAACTTCCTCATATATTTACCATCAGCATGTTTCCAAAGAACAATATCTTCATCACCGGAAACCTTCAACTTATTTAACTCCTCTTCCACCTCATTGAAAAGATCAACTCTATGAACACGCCTTCTTCTCTTATGTAAAGCATCGTTGAATTAGCTTATTCAGTTGAATGCTAAACAATAAAATTTATTAGATTAAATATCTAAAATATAAATTATTATATAAAAATAATAAGAACTATTTTTATTAAATAACAAGAAAATTTAACATAAAAATTACATTTTAAAACATACAATGAAATTGACAAAATCAACATGGAGCATTTTTATTTGCCCATAACATATTTGAAATCATTTCTCTAACGTTTGCCATAAGATTTACTTGTCTCATTTCCGCTTCTTCCATGTCATTTTTATTTGCACATAACACATATAGTTTTTATTTATAATATTTCATTTTAAATTTTAAAAGAGGTTCAGAGCGGTTTAAAACGATTTATAACATCTTTTTGATTGTTACAAACGTTAATAACCGTTACTAGGTATTAGCGTTCGAGTACCCCTTCGGGTTTAGATTGGATTTTTGGATTTGGATATATTTTTTAACACCTCCTAGGTCACACTCTAATAAATTTATAAGTACGGGCCATATTTGGATATAACACATGGGTTCGGTTCAGAGATACTTGAAGTAACCATATATCATTCGGGTTCAATTTATATTGGATCGGTTCGGATATACCCAAAGTAAAATCTAAAATTTAAAAGTAAAACATATGAAACATATGCTTATTTATATATATTGAAGTATTTAAGATATTTATTTAAATTTTAAATAATTATTTTTAGTTATCATGTGGAAAATAAATATGAAATTGAATATTTTAATTAAATATTTATGTTTCAAATATTTATAATTTATATTAATTTGGACATTCAGATCCGTTTCTTCTGATATTTTTGGTTTTCTGGGTTTTTTACCCGTTTGGTTGGTATTTAAATTATAATATATGCTAGTAAAATATAAATTGTCATATCAAATAATATGCATGAATTCATCAAACTACTTTATATAAAAATATAAAATTACAAACTAATTAAATAGAAGAGAAAGTATCTATATTATTAAAACTGAAGTACATATTGAAGTTGTTTGGAAACAAGAATAGTAAACTAAATAAAAATTGTTTGGAAATATGGCTAATAGTAAAAAAAATAATACTTGTCTAATTTAAGTGATTTTTTTTACACTTTTTCTTGCCATTTTAATTAATTTTAACTGTTTCATTAATTATCTTTACTAAATAAATTGATATCATTTATTACAGAATTACAAAACAAAACGTATTTGTTTTTCAATTTTTTATTTTACATTCATTTTCACTTTTTAACTATTTCATTAATTATATTTACTATAGTATTTCGACAACATTTATTTTACATATTAACTATAATAATTTGACATATTTGAATGAAATGACTCTATATGTGACAAGAATTAAAATGGTTAACAAAATTTTTTATTTGTTTACATAATCTGTTAGACATAGACATTCGAATACCTGTTCAGCTACGAGTTATTTATTTTGGATATCTGATTTTTTGAGTTTTGAAACTAGAATTCCTTCGGTATTGTAATTTTTCATGTGGATATTTCAAATCGGTTTTCACAAGTCGAGAAGAATTCAATTTTGATATATAGAAACCTAAAAATATCCAAAAACTAATGTATTTGAGGCATGTCCGGATATTTGTACCAAACGTAACAATATTAACCGATTTAGTTTGAGTATTTGAATTCAAACTAAACTTAACGTAAAAATAAACAAATAACTAAAACTAACCATATTACCATATTTGATTCTGGTTTGATTTAATGTATAGAAACCTAAAAATATTTAATGTATAGAAACCTCAAAATATTTAAATATACATACAATTAATTTAAATTATGATACATATAAAATATCAAATACTAATCATGAAAGAATAAAAATCAATTTATAAAAATATTTCAAATCGAGTCTTCACAAGTCAAGAAGAATTCAGTTTTAATAATTAGAAACCTACGAATATCCAAAAACTAAGAATCTGAAGCCGATTTGGATATTTGTACTAAAAGTAACAATATTAACCGATTCAGTTAGGGCATTTTCAATTCAAACTAAATTTAACCTAAAATAATCAAATAACTAAAACTAACCATATTACTATACTTGATCCGGGTTCGATTCTGATGTATAGAAACCTTTAAAAAAAATATTTATATAATTAATTATATTATGATACATATAAGAAATCTATACTAATCATGTAAGAAAAGTGTGTTTTCTTAGGTTATTCTCTTACACAAAGTGCATACTTGTGTTTAGATAGAGCTACAAATAGAATGTATTCTTCTCGCCATGTTATATTCCATGAATCAGTTTTTCCGTTTAGTACTTCATTGCCTGTTATTACATCGGTTAATGATGATGATTCGTTACCTTACTCTAACACTCTTGTCTTTGTTATTAGTCATATCTCCAACCTGCAGGTACCAACTCCGTCGGCAGCACCAGCTCCACCTCCCATGGCAGCTATGACTCCAAGGGAACCTCCGCCAGTAGTGCCCACGCAACCTATTGATCAAGATAGAGCAACCCTGACGCAACCAGCGGACATACCCACCATCTCTCAACCTCCTCCAGCTCCGACAAGGGCCAGCACAAGAACACGCAAACCAGTTCAAAATTAAATCTCAATACTACGCATGTGGACACTCCTCCAACCACAACTCCTTGCTCAGTCGCAGAAGCACTCAAATCCCTGTATTGGCGTAAAGCCATGAGCGATGAAAAGGAATCTCAACTGAAAGAAAGAACTTGGGATCTTACTGACGCTACTAATGTTGCTAATATTGTTGGTTGCAGATGGGTTTTCACAATAAGAGAAAACCAGATGGCTCCATTGACAGATACAAGGCTCGCTTGGTGGCCAAGGGATTCACACAACAACCGGGCATTGATTATCATGACACTTTCAGTCCAGTTGTTAAACAAGCAACAATCAGGATTGTTCTCAGTACCGCTACAACCTGAAACTGGCCATTACGCCAACTTGACGTCAACACAGCCTTTCTTCAAGGTCATCTTGAAGAAGAAGTCTTTATGGCACAGCCTCCAGGGTTTGTTGACAAAGATAACCCCAAAGCAGTGTGTAATCTTTGCAAAGCAATTTATGGACTCAAACAAGCCCCTTAGACATGGTATAATGAGCTGCGTAACTTCCTGCTTCAGTCCGGGTTCATCAATTCTCTTGCTGATGCGTCTCTTTTAGTCTACAACAAAAATGGTGTTTATCTCTATATGTAGGTCTACGTAGACGACATAGTCGTAACATGGAGTAGTTCTCAACTCATTGATCGTTTTATCAACTCTCTCTCTCAACGTTTTTCTATTAAAGATTTGGATCCTTTATCATATTTCCTTGGGATTGAAGTTCAGAGATCTTCTAATGGTTTGCATTTGTCTCAAAACAGGTACATCACTGATCTACTACATCGTATGCAAATGTCAGAAACCAACTCTGTTTCCACTCCCATGTGTCCGAACACCACTATTTCCCTTACTTCTGGTTCAATCATGGATGATCCCACCAGATATCGAATGGTGGTAGGAAGCCTGCAATATCTATCGCTTACAAGACCAGACATTTCTTTTGCAGTCAACAAGTTGTCTCAGTATATGCATCAGCCAACTACAGAACATTGGACAACCGCCAAGAGTGTCCTAAGATATCTTTCTGAACACGATCACATGGGATCACCTTTTCCAGCAACAACAGCCCGATCATACACGCTTTCACCGACGCTGATTGGGCTTGGAACAGAGATGACTATACATCAACAAAAGCCTACATTGTCTACCTTGGAAGTCATCCAGTTGCGTGGTCATCAAAGAAACAAACCGGTGTGGCGAGATCATCAACTGAGGCCGAGTATAGATCAGTAGCATCAACAACAACAGAACTTTGTTGGACCACTTCTCCACTGCATGAACTTCACCTTCCTCTATCACAGACTCCTGCAATTTATTGTGACAACATGGGTGCAACGTACTTAGCCGTCAATCCAGTTTTTCACTCACATATGAAACATCTTGCCCTTGATTATCATTTTGTCAGACATCCAGTTCAGAGTGGCGTAGTTTGGGTCTCACACGTTTCTACTCACGACCAACTCGCTGATGTTCTTACCAAACCCCTCTCAAGATCGAAGTTCGAAGGCTTATGCATCAAGATTGGACTCTCCTCCGATGGTCCATCTTGAGGAGGTGTATTAGCATATGGAAAGTATATATTACTAGCTGTTAGTATCTTGTTTATTACTCTGTCATAACTCTCGTATATCTCAATAGAATTATTCACTTCTCAAGCCAATAATTTCCCTTTTACTTTAATTTTTTCTTCAATTTATTTCTGGTACAAACGAGATTTCCGACTTAGTTTGTCGCTTAATCACTTCTTAATCAAACACCCAAACTCATATTTTAACAAATGCGATATCTAAGAAAAGGTAAACAATGTTCGTTTATGTTTGCCGTTTTCTGATGTCAAAAGTTTGTACTATTTTTTGCCAAGATTATTACATCTATCTTGTCTAGGTAGGTCTCAGTGTTGGAGTAAATTTCCTTGAAACAATATGATAAAAGGGCAACAAAATCAAAAGCAGAAGAACAGAAAATTGGCATTTTAATGGGCCGATAATATTATTAGTCTAAAGCCCAATGGGTTTCAGTGGATGGATTATTATTAGGGCACAAGAACTGGTCTCTCTTGCTTTGACAGAAACAAAAGGATCAGAGCGGAGAAAAGAGAAAGGAAGATCTGAGGAGATGGCATCGAATGCAGCGGTTCCGTTTTGGAGAGCGGCGGGGATGACTTATATAACCTATTCGAACATTTGCGCGAATCTGGTGAGGAATTGCCTCAAGGAGCCATTCAAAGCAGAAGCCCTAAGTCGCGAGAAGGTTCACTTCTCAATCTCCAAATGGGCTGGTGGAAAGCCTGAGAAACCAAGTATGTCTCTCTTTTTTTCTAGTATGATCATTAGATTTGGAAAGTCAATCTTGTTGTTGTTGTCGCTGTCGCTTTCCTGGATTGTCAGATATATTTTGGGGTCTTTATTTGAATTTGTAGATATTTGATCTCATAGATTAATTGATTTTGTTATTAAAAAAGAATCAATATTTGTTGAATCTCCCAGTTAGTCATCTGAGAGAACGAAAACATGAGACAGATTACTAGTGGGAAAATCTGACATTTTAGATTGTCTCTCATGTATCAGAAGCTTGATTGAAAAATTATGATTTCAATTTCTCAAAAGGTTTTATTATTACAGTGACAATGATCTTGTGAGCTTTACCAGCTTTGTATTACTCTATCTAACATTATCTTTCATTTTTGCTTTTTTCTTGACAGTTTTGCGTTCAGACACACCTGGAGTTTGAGTTTTTTTAAACGTTTAAGGTTAATAATGGTGAGGATGGAAGAAACTATTGTGTTGCCTCTGCAACAAACATGATTTGTTTTAATCTATCTACTTTGAGATTGTTAGTAATGAAGGTTGAGTGAAATACCCTCATTCCTATCTTAATAATCAAAGGATAATGATACTTGTGCTTATCTTATTGCTTTGACTCCAAAGCTGTTTTTTACTTTGTTTTTCCATTTGCGTATGCGAATATAAGTCTCTTTGAAGACTCTTCTTATATACCAAAAAGGTAAGATATAGAATACTACAGAACCGTGAAAAGAGCATAGAAAGAGTTGTCATAAGTCAATAGAAAGAGTTGTTAGTGAACCATAAGCAATTGACCCCCAAAAAATGTTGTCATAAGTCAATAGAAAGAGTTGTTAGTGAATTATAAGCAATTGACCTAAAAAAAAAAGTGAACCATAAGCAATGTTACATGTTTTCTTTTCTCCATCAATATAATCTTATGTTATAAATACTATTTCATACCCATTTTTTTGTCAACACTACTAATTCATACCATTAATGAATTTTATTTGACTTATCAGACAAAAGAAAAAACTATTTACAACTGTTCCGAACACAACTGAGAGTAGGTGTATGAATCTATTTGTAAAGAAAAACTATTTACAACTGTTCAAGAAAACACAATTGAGAAGTAGGTGTATGAACCTATTTGTAGAATCTAACTAAAGAAAATCAAACTTAATCATTATTCAGAAACTAATCTTTTCATCTTGTCATATAATCTCAAAAAACATCTAAACGGGCATGATTCACAATGTAGTATCTGTCTATGGCAGTGGATATTCCCAAAATTGCTTGATTTTATTTACTTATAATGCAAACCTACCAAGAATAAAAATGTTATAATAATAGTTCAAGTAATTGTAATTGAGAAACGATTTGCTTCCATCTTAGTTTCTTAAATCATAAAACAAAAAAAAAAACAACGTGTAAGTAAAACTGAACAAAGCCAGTGGTCAGTGCTTGCAAGTATCATCCACGCGCTTACACACCGCGTGGATACCTTTTTATCGATATTATTGCCTCTCGATTCTTTCAATTTATATATATTTTTCCCCTTTTAATTTATCAGAAAAAAATATAATAAAAACGTTCCTTTTCAGTGTCCTCTCACTTTCTTTCGAAGAAGGAACCTTCATTCACTTTTCGATTTCGATCGCTGCTTCTGCTTCGAAGAACGAATCAAACCCTAGAAAATACGACAACAACGACTACCAAATACGACCTGGTTCCTCATCTATCTCTCTCCATCATAACCTCTTCAAAATCTCCAAAGCGATGAAACCGGTTCAATCGCCACCAGGATTATCCGTCCCGGTTAAGAGCCGTCCCCGCCGCCGCCCAGACCTCTCCTTACCTCTCCCTCAACGCGACGTCTCCCTCGCCGTCCCTCTCCCCCTCCCACCGACTTCCGCCGGCTCCTCCTCCTCCGCTCCTTCCTCAACCTCCTCCAACAACAATCCCAAAACCTACTCAGATCTAGAGCGCTGTAACCGGATCGGGAGCGGAGCAGGCGGCACCGTCTACAAAGTGATCCACCGTCCCACCTCCCGCGTGTACGCTCTCAAGGTGATCTACGGAAACCACGAGGAGACCGTCCGTCGCCAGATCTGCCGAGAGATCGAGATCTTGCGAGACGTGAATCATCCAAACATCGTGAAATGTCACGAGATGTTCGATCAAAACGGCGAGATCCAGGTGTTGCTTGAGTTTATGGATAAAGGATCTTTAGAAGGTCATCATGTGTGGAAAGAGAGTGACTTAGCTGATTTATCTCGTCAGATCTTAAACGGTTTAGCTTATCTCCACGGGCGTCATATTGTTCATAGAGATATTAAGCCTTCGAATTTACTTATAAACTCGGCCAAGAATGTCAAGATTGCTGATTTCGGGGTGAGTAGGATCTTGGCGCAGACCATGGATCCTTGTAACTCATCTGTTGGGACCATTGCATATATGAGTCCCGAGAGGATTAATACTGATTTGAACCAAGGGATGTATGACGGTTACGCCGGGGATATTTGGAGCTTAGGTGTTAGCATTCTAGAGTTTTTCTTGGGGAGGTTTCCTTTTAATGTGAGTAGGCAAGGTGATTGGGCGAGTCTCATGTGTGCTATTTGTATGTCTCAGCCTCCCGAAGCTCCCGCGACTGCGTCACGGGAGTTTCGGAATTTTATTTCGTGTTGCTTGCAGAGGGAGCCGGGGAGGAGGTTGACTGCCAATCAGCTTTTGAAGCATCCGTTCATACTTAGAGGTGCGAGTCAGGGGCAGAACAGGTCTCCTCAGAATCTGCATCAGCTCTTGCCTCCTCCTCGTCCTCTCTCTTCGTCTTCTTCTTCCCCGACCACGTAGCGTTTGATCACTGGTCAGTGGTCAGACTCTTTGTCGTTTGAGGTATTGGTTACTTTGTTCTTGAATGTTGTTCAATTTTTTGCGTAAGCTTTGTGTAACTTATCAAGAAAGGGCAATGACTTTGCTTTGTATCCTTAATGTAGCTGTTGTTGAATTTTCATAAAGGTTATACCTTTTTCTCTGTTATTTTGCCATTTTATGCTTCTTGATTTGCACCTTAAGCCTCATGAACAAAAAATGGTTTCTATCCTTTTATGGCCAATGGCTTGACTGATCAGGGTATAGTTTTGTCTGATAATGTTCTACACTAAAGCTTTGATTAGACGAACTATGTCGTTATCTTTAATGTAACTGAAGTCTGAAGGCAGAGCAACCCGTAACTCCAACTCATGTTTTGATTTTAAGGTTTCCCTCTGTTTTTTCCACTTCTCTCTCAGTTCCAAATCTTATTCCCTAGTTGTACAGTAGTTCACTAGGAGAGTCATTTATTATTCTAAGAAATCAAATGTGCAATGACCCTTCCCGAGTCGGACTACTAACCAATTATGTCTTGTTTGTAACTCCTCTGCATTCTCTAGTCCTACTACCAACCATAATTGGTTCTTGCAAAGTATCACAAGAATCATGAAATATTACTAATAGGATATTGAGTGTCAAGGAGTTGTTTGTTTCTTGTTTGACAGTGACTTAGAGTATCAGAGGACAATCTTCTATAACGCAATACTGTATGAACAAAATTGCACGATCCGATTTAACTTATTTTATGGAAAAGGTCCAACACAAGTTACATGAAACCCTCATTACATGAATCAAAAGATAACAAGAATAAGCCAAAAAAAGTAACACGCACTGATTGACTCGTATGAGTTCCTCTCCTTCATTGGTGCCAAACAGACTATGTGTATATACATTGAAACATGTTTTTTCTTTTCTTTTCTTTCTTAGTTCATCAACCTATAAGCTAGTTTCCCCCTTAGATCTTTCCTCAATAATTTCGCCTGATGGAGCTTTAGGAAGGGAATCAGTGAAGGGCACCTGTGTTGGTTTTCTTGTAAACCGAAACCTGTGTGATAAACAAATTTTGCATTAACTAAATGATTCATTTCTCATGCTGTCGCGCAACAATCAAATCGTGAACTGGAAAAACGTATTGCTTTTGCCAAAACTCAGTTTACTTGCTTCGAGAGGAACTTCACCAGCAGCCTCTTCTTTCATTCTGTGTAAGATTAAGGTGACAACAATGGACTAGAAAATAGTAAACTCTTCATACATATAAACAAATCGTGTAATGAAGTAATCAACATACTTCACTCGAGCTTGTTAACCACCAGTCTAGCAAGGCCAATGCATGGACACGAGTGTGAATGATCTGCGCACGTTTTCGGTGCTAATGCGTAAAGACCATAGAGTATAAAGAGAGCGAAACATCTGTGTTTGTGTTACGTGTTAATGCATAAAACAGCAAAAGACTGACTGTGCCTCCATACAAAATTGATGTTTAATCAGGGGAAATAAGGTTCACTAACACCAAAAAAAAAAAAAAATTCACTAGCTAAATAGAATTATGTTTTAAATCTAGTGTTATTCAATGAATGATTTAAATTTAGTTTGTTAAATCTAGTGTTATTCAACTTTTAAAGATTTTAAAATTCTTTGTATTTTGAATTGATTTCAAACCATTTCCTATAGATTCCCCTGAACAAATGAATGAATTCAAAATCCAAGGCATACTGCAGAGATTTTAAAATCTATCAACTTAAACTTTCTTAAAATTTAAAATTTTGATGGATTACAAAATATTAATAATTGATTTAAAAACACTCATTGAATAACACCTCCTTTAAAAGGGTTGGCTGCCTATTCCCCCCCTCTAAACACATAAACCCTACTTATTCCCCCCCAAACTATTAAGTTCTTTCTTAACCCACCTATTCATATATTTTCTCTTCATATGTCCCCCTAAACTTTTTAAACCCCCCCTCTTAATTAGATTTTCTAATCGTGATTAATGAATCAAAAATTGCGTTTAGAAAATAGCGATTGCCCAATTAAAATTAACTCACCCATTTAAAAAAAAAATCAACCCATTATTAATCACAAATTAATTGGGGCTTACGGTTTCTTTTATTTTTTTACGACACAGAAACAAAGAGAGAGAGAGGGACAGAAACGACGAGAGAGAGAGAGAGAGAGAGAGAGAGAGAGAGAGAGAGAGAGAGAGAGAGAGAGAGAGAGAGA